ATCCCAGCTACTCGGGAGGCTGAGACGGGAGAATGGCTTGAACCCAGGAGACGGAGGTTGCAGTGAGCCGAGATTGTGCCACTGCACTCCAGCCTGGGTGACAGAGCAAGACTCCGTCTCAAAAAAAAAAAAAGAGACCCTATTGAGGGTTTCCTTCTTACAAATCATCCAGAGCTTCTCCTCTGCCCAGCAGGAGCACCCACACTTCTTGGCTTGGCCCCTTCACCATCTCACCCTGTTCTGGTTACATTTCCAGTTCTTTACCGCCAACTCTGTCCCTGACCCCAGCAAGCCCCGTTTCCTATCTTCAGCCACCAGAGATTCCTCCTTTCTATGCTCCAGTTGTGGGACTCAGCCCACACCACCCTCAAGCCCACCCGCTCCCTTCTCCACGGCCTTCAAATCCACATCAGGACACCTTCCCTACTCAAATTCATCACGTCTTTGCTTGGAATTCTGTTTTCACATTCACTGTCCTGCCGCAGAGTTAATGTTTGTGTCTCCCTATTAACCCAAATGCTATCTACAGTAATTGGGCACAGATCAGGTTCTACCCTCCACTTATTTATCCTCACAATGCTATGAAGTAGGAATCAATATTATCATCTTACAGATAAGGAATCTGGGGCCCAGAGGGGTGAGCCACTTGCTCAAGGTCTCACAGCTAAGAAGCAACAAAGCCAGAGCATAAATGCTTAACCGTTACTGCCAGATGATTCTAGAAGGAACACCAGGGTGGAAGCATTTTTACCTCCTGCTGCCTTGCACACCCCAGGTGTTAGATGGGCGGGGTTTGCCTCTCTGTGCTAGGCAGTGGCTCAGACCTGCCCTTCTTGTGGTCCTGGGAGCCCACTGACTGAAGAAACTAATTCTTAGAAAAACCCTGAGTTCAGCATGCCTCGGAAAGAACTTTGGAATTATGCAACGTGCTAAGTCACAGGGAATTTGGTCAGTTATCTGAAAACTGCCAATGCCACGGCTGATAATCCTGGAGGCTTGGAGCATATTAACACCAAAATGCCTCCTTTTGGTGAGTAGAGGCGGAAAGAAGGAACCAAAACATCCCCAGTAAATAAAAACTCCCCTGGAAACTATGGAAAGAAGACTCTCTTAACGGTACAGGAGCAAACTGTGCCTCCCCACCCCCTTCCCCCAGCACACAAACAACTAATCTAGGAAATCAGATTGGTTTACGTTTTCCCTAAATCCGGGATTCCAACGGCCGTGTGTGCCTGAGGCAGAAGAGACTGCCTAAAATGTTGGTTAAGAGACAAGAAAATCTGTCACTTTGTCTCCAGGGGAATCTGGGCAATTGGGGGACAGAGGGGCAAACTAGCTACAGAGACTCCCAAAACAACGTTGCAATTGTCCTTCCAGCCTGGTGATAAATATGCAAGTGGGACACTTTGTAGAATTTCCCGAAGGGCAGAGCTACCAGCCTCAGGCAAATTGTTCCCTCCCACTTAACCCCACCTGGCCCAGAAGAGCCTCAGGCCAGTTGACTTTGAACCTCAGCCTCACACTTACCGCTAGGCTGCCGGCCCGCATGGCGTCGGCAGCATCTTCTTTAAAGAAGTCTTTCCTTTGGATGCCAGGTGAAGCCTCAAGCCTCAATTCATAACCAAATGCGCCTCAGCCCACCCCGGAGTCAAACCCTGGGAATAAGGAATGTGCATAGGGGAGTGGGGGTGGCCTCTCCCAGGAAAATGAGGGCTGCTTTCTCAATCCACAGCAAAGCCGGCGCTCTCCCTCCCCACTGCCCCCAAGCCCCCGATCTGGGTGGCAGGAGGGCACCAGAGAGCTCTGGATTTACCACCTACACCGGGGGCCTAGGGTGTGCACAGCGTCGCACTTCGGCCCACCAGGCCAGGAAGTGGGGTCAAGTGATTATAAACCATCACCCCCCTTGCTGCAGCTGGCTGAGTCAGTGGAATGGGATTCCTAAACGTTGGTGGGTATCGAATACCTTTGAGCAGAGCATCATGGAAGTTCAGCCCAGAAAAGCTCAGGTGGGCGTCCAGAATGCTCGAGGGGGCCCCGAAGCGCCACCGTAGATGGCAGCAAACACTCCAATGTACTGTGGTAGGGGCGCTGGGGGAAATCTGCATTTGAACCCTTTTACCCATCAATTTAATTCAAGCTTGGAAAGGTGACAGATCTAAAGTGACGACCACAGGCCTCCCGTCTGACACACTGGGAACCGCTCGTGTTGGGAGAGGCCCACTATGTGCTAAGCTGCCGCCCAAGTCCAAGAACACAAGCATGGGGGGGTGTACTCTAGGAGCCGCGGGGCCAGGAACTGCGTCCCACAGGGTGGAATTTCTGAGAGCGCATGGGCCTCCTTTCCGACCTCGGGAACCCCCGACGGCCTTGGTTATTCCAGAGGCCTAGCGCACAGAATGGGCTGCGGACGGAAAGCAGCAATACCTGTGCCTTTTCCGCAGCTCCAGAGGCCGCACTCGGCATCTGGCGGGGCCACCCGGGCGGACAGAACCCACAACGGGATCCCGCCGCCCCTGCGCAGCGGCTACCCCGCTGGCGGGAGGACGCGCCGAGGCGCCCTGGCCGCGGCCCAGGGGCAGGTGCAGGAGCCGCGCGGCTGGCGCGCTCAGGGCGCGGGTGCCAGGTTGCGCGGGCGGGCACGACAGGGAGGGGCGCAGGCCCCGGGAGCCCGACGCCAGGGCGTGGTGCTTGTGGCGGCGGGGGCAGAGTCAACACAGTACCTTGATTTTTGACCTGGCAACCGGGCGCTGCTTGGCCGCCAGGTGTCCTTCGGGGCCATCGGCGTCGCCTGGCTCGGGGGTTTCGCGCTCTGGGGCGTGCGGGGACGAGCTGCTCTCGGCGCCTCCGGGCTCGCCCGCGCTGCTACTGCCGCTGCCGCTGCTGCTGCCGCCGTCGCTGCGGCAGTCCTCGGGAGGGTCGTGGAGCAGGCTGCCCAGGCCCACTGTGGAGGGAGGGGCCGCGCCCCGACACACACACTCGGCGTCAGCCCGCAAGCCCGCGGCAGTTTGACCTGCGGGCGGTGCCGCCGCCGCCCCGCCCCGGACCTGGGCACCTCGCCAAATGGGCAACGTCGCGGGGGTGGGCGAGTAAGCCTCGGATCGGCCCCTCGAGCTAGCTTGGGGTGCTCAGGGCCTGTTCCCGGTCCCGGCCCCGGCTCCCACAAGGAACTGGGCGGCCACGGGCGGCGGAGGACCCCGCGCGCCAAGTTTCCTCTCGGGGAGTGGGAGGCGGGTCTGATCTCTTCCCAGCTACCCCCAGAAGGGTTGGTGGGCCTTTGTGCACCCCCATGAGGACATGAGATTGGGGGTTAACCCCTGCTAGCTTTCGTTCCCTTTCCTGGGCCACCTCGGCCCGCGCCGCAGCCAACGGTCCCGCCGCCGGGCAATTAGAGGCTCCCACTAGGGGGAAGGGGGCGCCGAGAGTCCCGGGCATCCCAGTCCCTCACTCCCCACCCTCCCCCGCCTGGAAGACCCCTGCGTGCCCCCCGGAAGAGGGGGATGAGGTGGGAGCCCGACCCTGACAAAGAGCAGAGAAGACCCGCCACCCCTTCCCCCACCCTGGGAGCCGGGCGCCCAGGCCCGGCCCCCGCGCGCGCTCACCTGGGATGTAGGTGTCTGCCCTTTTCTCATCCGGGAGCTCATCCCAGCTGCGGACCGAGACCCCCAGGCTCCTCCTCTTCACCAGGAAGACTTTGGGCATGGTGGGGTCCCCTCTCCCGGCTGCGGCCCCCTCCTCCCGGCTGCTCCCCGCTAGGGGCGACGGCGGCGTCTCGGTCCCCGGCTCCCGGCGGCCAGAGCCCACCTTCCCGCCTCGCCTGCCCTCTTCCTCCACCCCCCTCCGCGACGCGGCCCAGGCCTCTCCCCCGCACGCCTGGCGACTCCCAGCCTCCGGGCTCGGCGACACCTATGCCTTAAATCGCGGGTGAGACCACGCCGGGGAAAAAGTTTCATAAGGTGAAATAGAAAAGGCACCAGGAAACTTGGGAGTGAGCATGCGCCCTGCAACATAACGGTGTCAACAAGCTCGCTACCTGTCCGACCGGTTCCGGCGGCCGAGGCTGCCTGTTCCAGCCCTTCCTTAGGCATGAATGTTTGCAAAAGAATTTAAAGTCTGTTCTTCCCCCTCCTCTTTTTTAAAAAAAGCAGAACATATTTTAATCCACCCCCTTCCCATTCCCCCATCACCTACACCTCGAGGTGAGTTCTTCGAGATAAACCCCAGGTTTGCCTCCCAGGGCACCCCTCCGGTGAGTTGGGGCCTCCCACAAGTTGCCCCCCTCCCCCGCCCGGTGGATCTGTCTCAGACCAGCCAGAAAATGGCTCAGTTCCTCTGGACCTCGTGGAGCCTTCCCCGGGCTTGGAGAAATCTGGGCGGTCAGAAGGGGAGGCGGCGGGAGGCTTCCAGGGACTCTGATTATTAACAATGGGGGAGGGGGCTTAGGGGCTTAAGCCATCCATCAGCTACAACACCCCCCATAAGCAGTAAAAATAAAATTTTAAATTCGGCATCTTTAGAACACGTTATTTTTCTGACTAGTATCATAAAATCTAAGAAAAACGAGGCTTGCCCCGCCAAAGCAGCTTCCATCCCAAGACGTTGCACCCCGAAAGCCCCCTCACCCCAACTAAACACACAATAGAAACAGAAGCCAGGAGCATATTATGCAAATGCAGCTTCGAAAGAAGCCCCCAATCCTCTCCCACTCCCACCACTGCCGCCCCTAACCACCCGATCCCCAAATTCTGAGGCTGGGAAATACCTTTCCAGGAAGCCACCATAGTGAACATTGGCTACATCTTCTCGCTGTCCCTACCGGGGGAGGGAGGCAAGATTTGCATTTATGATTACATCTGTCTGTTCCGATCAACCTTTATGTCTGGAGGGGAGAGGGAGAGAAGGAGGAGGAGTTGGTAAAAGGTGCCAAGTTTCTAAAGCAGTTGTGCTCACATTGGGGGGCGCGCTGCCCTTCCCAAGACCTTGTTCGGGTGCGCCCAGGACAACCGGCACAGCCTCCAGTGTCGCTGCGATCGCCCTGCTCCAGGAGGTCGTCAGACGTGTGCCAGCTGCCGGGTGCTGCGGGGGCACGCCTGGCCAGGGATGCCCTGGAGCCCGCAGCTCACCCAACAGCCAGCCCCACCTGTCTGTAACCTGACCCGCCGCCCACCCAGCCCACAGGGCCCGGGAAACAACACAGCGGTTTTCCCTGTTCCCTTCCTCCCTGAATGGCCCTTGGGGACACAGCCGCCTGGTAACGGATTTCTCGGCGCTACTGGCGGACTCGCGCGGCGCAGAGAGCCGGGGCGCTGCTCTCCCCGGGCTGCGGAGTGGACTGGCGCGCCACGCCTCCAAGCCTGCCCTCAAGAAGTCACCTTCTCTGGACTGAACTCCGATCTCCAGCTTTTCTCTAAGGAAAACCAGCTAAGAACGAAAAAGACTTTGATCCCGATGAGCCAGAGGAGGAGGAGGAGGAAGACATTTCTGTAGCAGTGCAGGAGAACCAGGCTTCTTGTCTATGAGGCTGATGGGGCAGCTTCCGGGAGACTCTGCAGATTTATTTTTATCCGCCAACAAACTGGATTTGCTAGAAAGAAGGAGCTTGGGTGAATGGAAGAGTAAAAATAAAGTACAACTATGAAGTTACAGAATTATTCCCAGTCTTTAAAAATCTTCAAAACTTCACTTCGTTAAGAGCTCCCTGTTTTACAGAAGAGGCTGTCAACTCCATTCATAAAGATTTTTTTTCTTTCACTGGATTTCAAACCAGTGAGTGCTCGACTACTTTGCCTATTTCTACTATTTAAAAAGATTAAGGCCGAGCGCAGTAGCTTATGCCTGTAATCACAGCACTTTGGGAGGCCGAGGTGGACAGATCACCTGAGGCCAGGAGTTCGAGACCAGCCTGATCAACATGGAGAAACCCCGTCTCTACTAAACATACAAAAATTAGCAGGGTGTGGTGGCACATGCCTGTAATCCCAGGAGGCTGAGGCAGGAGAATCGCTTGAACCTGGGAGGTGGAGGTTGCAGTGAGCCAAGATGGCTCCCTTGCACTCCAGCCTGGGCGACAAGACCGAAACTCTGTCTTGGAAAAAAAAGAAAAGATTATAGGATGATTAAGTATAAGGCCAGAAACCTCCAAAGCAATGCAACCTTTGTAGGTTTGGGGATGAAGACTTAACAGGATAACAACACTTTTATTCTATGATCATTGGATGCACACCTACTATATTTGCTGGGTGCTTCTTGGGGACAAAGGAATTTTAACATGTTTTGTTTATCTCTTTTTTTTCTTGATCAGACTTGACATGGGTCTATCACAATTATTGACATATACAAAGAACCAGCTTTTACCTTGGTTGACTTGTCTCCATTGTAAGGTTTGGTTTCCTAAGTATTCTGAGAGGAGCTGATAGCGTATCCCAGAAAGCACGATAAGAAATGAACCCAATTCTCATTTCCTTGCACTACTGTAAAAATGTCTTCCTTCTCCTCTCCCCTCCTCCTTATATGCTTATACATTGTTGGTGAGAATGCAAATTAATTCAGCCCCTGTGGAAAGCAGTTTGGAGATTTCTCAAGAACTAAGAATAGAAATACCATTGGACCCAGCAATCCAATTACTGGGTATACAACCAAAGGAAAATAAATCGTTTCACCAATAAGCATTTGTATGTTTATTGCAGCACTATTCACAATAGAAAAGACATGATATCAACCCAGGGGTCCATCAATAGTGGACAGGATAAAGAAAATGTGGTACATATACACCACAGAATACTATGCTGTCATAAAAAAGAATCAAATCATATATTTGCAGTAACATAGATGCAGCTGGAGTCCATTATCTGGTGCAAATTAACTCAGAAACAGAAAATCTAATTCCGTATGTTCTCAATTAGAAGTGGGAACTAAACATTGAGTACACACAGATACAAAGATGGGAACAATTAACACTGGGGATTCCAAAAGTGGGAAAGAAGAGAGGGGGAAAGGCTTGAGAAACTACCTATCAGGTACTATGTTCACTATTTGTTTTTATTTAATTTTTGAGACAGAGTTTCCCTCTGTCCCTCAGGCGGTACTGCAATGGCGAGATCTCAGTTCACTGCAACCTCTGCCTCCCGGGCTCAAGCAATTTTCGTGCCTCAGCCTCCCAAGTAGCCGGGACTACAGGCATGTGCCACCACACCTGGCTAATTTTTGTATTTTTAGTAGAGACAGGATTTCGTTATGTTGGCCAGGCTGGTTTCGAACTCCTGAGCTCGAGTGATACACACACCTGCCTTGGTCTCCCAAAGTGCTGGGATCATAGGCATGAACCACCACAACTGGCATATGTTCACTATTTGGGAGACAGGATCATTAGAAGCCCACACTTCAGCATCATGCAATTTACCCATGAAACAAACCTGCAAAGGTGCCCCTTGAATCTAAAATGTAAAAAGAAAAGAAAAAGTAAATAATGCTTTAAAACTTTTTCACATTATTTCCTAAATACCTTTATTTACATTCATTTGGTAAAATTATTTGTCCCATTTCTTTAAAAGGAGGGAAAATAGGCTATGAGAAACTAAATACATTCAAGTACCGCTGGGCGCAGTGGCTCATGTCTGTAATCCCAGCACTTTGGGAGGCTGAGGCAGGCAGATCACCTGAGGTCAGGAGTTCGAGACCAGCCTGGCCAACATGGTGAAAACCTATTGATACTAAAATACAAAAATTAGCAGGGCATGGTGGTGCACGCCTGTATTCCCAGCTACTCCGGAGGCTGAGTCAGGAGAATCACTTGTACCCAGGAAGTGGAAATTGCAGTGAGCCAAGATTGCCCTACTACATCCCAGCCTGGGAGACAAAGCAAGACCCTGTCTAAAAAAAAAAAAAAAAGGTCTTGTTCTGTTGCTCAGGCTAGAGTGCAATGGCATGATCTCGGCTCACTGCAACTTTCACCTCCCGGGTTCAAGTGATTCTCCTGCCTCAGACTCTCCAGTAGCTGGGATTGCAGCTGCCCGCCACCACACCTGGCTAATTTTTGTATTGTTAATAGTGACAGGGTTTCACCATGTTGGCCAGGCTCATCTCAAACTCCTGACCTCATGATTCACCCACCTCAGCCTCCCAAAGTGTTGGGATTACAGATGTGAGCCACACTTCTGGTCCAATTATTCTTCATGTGTACATCATCATATCTCATTTGCAACAAGATCAGCTTAACTAACCTAGTGATTAAATAAACAAACTGCATAAATTAAAAATATATAAAAGTAGACGTTATATCTGAGCCTCTTACTACATTCAGTACAAAATGTGCTTTTGATTGTTTTGTCAAATTTTAGAAGTGACTTGCTGAGGCAGTGCGAGTACATTTGGTAGAGCTGAGTGAATTCGGGGTGCAGCTATTGACCTTGAAATAGATTTATTTCTTTTTCTTCCACCTGAGATCGTGGCCTCTGCCTTATTTGTAAGGGGCCCTCATTATGAAAGCAAATAATGTGGCTCATATTATTCAATGTGTTAAATACCTTGTATTTAAATATAGACGTTTTGGTCATAGTGAAAGTTGAATGCTCAGAACTCACAAACACCCACAAGATGTTAATAAAAACAATTTCAATTTGAAAAAATGAACCCAATTCTTTAAAAATCTCAAGACTGGGGCCAGGCGCAGTGGCTCAAGCCTGTAATCCCAGCACTTTGGGAGGCCGAGGCGGGTGGATCACAAGGTCAAGAGATCGAGACCATCCTGGTCAACACGGTGAAACCCCGTCTCTACTAAAAATACAAAAAATTAGCTGGGCATGGTGGTGCGTGCCTGTAATCCCAGCTACTCGGGAGGCTGAGGCAGGAGAATTGCCTGAACCCAGGAGGCGGAGATTGCGGTGAGCCGAGATCGCGCCATTGCACTCCAGCCTGGACAACATGAGTGAAACTCCGTCTCAGAAAAAAAAAAAAAAAAAAAAAATCTCAAGACTGAAGTTTGAAGAGACAGAAGACATAATGTGGTCCACACCCCACCCAATTATTGGTGGTGAGGAGTCTATACAGCACCCTAGGTGTGCATCTAGCCCTACTTGAATACTTCCAATGCTGGGAAGCTCACTATCTCAGAAAGAAACCTATTCTCTGGTTAGACAACAATGGTGCTACAAAGCTTTTCTTCCTGTTTGTGGAAATCTGCTTTCCTGCCCTTCCACCTCCCTTTTTATTCTGTCCTCCAGGGCTGCTGAGACTCCCCCTGCACTCCCTCCACCTGGTAGTTCTTCAAATTCTTGAAAGCTGCCATCTGCACCCTCACTTAAGACTTCTTTTCTCCAGTAATATATAGTCAGGTTGAAAGCAGACAGGTACAAACCTGCTCAGTGGTATCCTTGGAGCACACAGCAATAAGGAGAGGGTAAGATGTTGAGAAAATATTTCTAAGGAAACTTTATTTACACTTTTAATTGAGGTATACTACAGTATTAGGAAAATGATATATTTTCACCCACTGAACTCACCAGTGGAAAAAGCACCCAAGTGCAAGCCAAGGCTGCCTGCTCTCAGCACCCCATTCACATTAGATTGCTTCCTTGCAGGTACGGTAAGGCAAAAAAGAAGAAATAAGAGTATAAGGATTACAAAGAAAAACAACAAAACTACTATTGTTTGTAGCCAGTATCATGGTCTAAGGAAAACCCAAAATAACCTATGCATAAATTATTAGAATTAATAAGAGAGTTTAGCAAGGTTACAGTGTAGAAAATCTGTGTGTAAGGTTTGAGCATCAATTAAATTTCCATATGCCAGCAACAGTCAGAAAAATTAAAAGTCTAATGAAAAGGACTCCTTCCTTTTACCTCGTTGCATCCTTGAGAGCAAGATGGGTCACCAGCAGCTGTACTGGAGACACCTGCGAAAATTTGGCCAGAGTTCTTGCTCTTGTCAAGTCTCTTCAAATCGGCATGGTCTGATCCAGAAATATGGCCCCAATATGTACCACCAGTGTTTCCATCAGTAAGCGAGGGATGTTGGTTTCATTAAGTTGGGCTAAATGGTCTTCCTTCAAAAGATTATCCAAGACATCTACCATGAAAAACCATAATAGTTCCTTGTACCTAAAATAAACATTTTTTAAAACTTCCAAAAAAAATCTAATGAAAAAATGATTTAAAACACAACAAAAATACAAAGCTCCTTGTAATCGATTTTTTAAAAATACTGTGCAAGCTCTTTGCGTATAAAATTTTAAAAAACTTTATTGGTAGACGAATGTGGTAGTGTGCACCTGTAGTCCCAAAGACTTGGGAGGCTAAGGTGGGAGGATCACCTGAGCCTGGGATGTGGAGGTTACAGTGAGCCTACATGGTGCCACTGCACTCCAGCCTGGGCCACAGAGCAAGAAGACCCTGCCTCAAAAAACAAACAAACAAATAAAAAACCCACAAAATTTAAAAAAAAAAAAAAAACTTTATTGGAAGACATTAAAGAAGACACTAATCAATGGAAAGTTTTACCATATTAATGGATTGGAAAATTCAGAATTAAAGAGGCCAAAATTCTCCAAATTCATCTGTAGATGTAATACAATTATTTAAAAAACTTGACAGTCTTTTGTGGGAACTGATAAATTTGTTTCAAAGT